TTTGAAAGCATGGTCCGGCCCGTTCATAGCGGCCATTTGCGGGTGGTGCTCGCCCGCACCCCGCCCCCTTGGTTACTCTATCTCCTGTTCGGAGTACTGCATAGGTGTCTGTGGCAACCCTGGCGGTGGCATTTTTTTTGTATTTTTTTGTATTTGCTTTCGTTCGTATTCGAATGCATCTCTCCCACCGCTCTTTCTATTGTGGTGTCATGTCGATTGCCATCCCGCTTACTCCCACGCAACGTCCAGCTCACTAAGATCACAATGTGAGCCCTTCGGCCCGTGTTGCAGATGAGGAGCCACAATGAACTGGACGGAGATCGAACGAGAATAAAAAACTGGCGCATGACAAATTAATCTTGTCTGCTTTCTTCAACGTTCCCACAGGCCCGAAACGTTCTTAAGCTGTTCGATATCGGAGTTGACCTGGCCAGCACGTGGCGAACCTGATAACCTACATTTAGGTAAAAAACGAATGTTTCTTACTAACGGCCTGGAGTGACCAATTTGTTCAGTCATACTTTGATCTCAATTCAATAATTTGACGGGAAGAGTCGGGTGTCCTTTCAGCCAACCATCGAGCAAAGGTCAGTCCAAAATTCCATTGCATGGTGATTCTGTCAAGCCGCCCCAGATGGCAGTCGAGGTTCCAGCCAGTTGCCACGACTACCCTCATCGTCGGAGCCGCTTCTTTGTGATGTTCTGCTGAACTGAGGCTGGCAATCTGATGCAGCCGGTGGCTTGGACTCCTCGGCATCAGGCATTGGCACCGTGCCCCTCCAAGACATCACACGCGGTTTTAGTGTGATCCAAACCACCGGGTCGGTTGAGATCTGTCAACTTTGCCCTTGACAGATCATCTCACTAACTGCTTTTAGCGACAACCTCATGTAGGTTTTGGGCCGACCATAAGCTGGCCTTTATCGTACTTGAGTATCAGTTGATTTCTTCCTTTATTTCTTGTTACTTCTTTGCTTCTCTCGCCCGCTCTTTTGCTTCCAGCTAACCACCGGCCGCCCATCCAAGACACCTGGCAACAAAAGCATCAGGTTCTGTCGCATTCAGCTTGTCTCTGTCTGGACGTGACTAAAAACCTGTGTTCTAGACCGCCTCTAGAAGCCCCTATCAGCTCTCAAACTCCCTCGCACAACCTTTGGCCCGTGATCAGGAAGCAGCTGTGTGTGACTTGTCAGTTATCCGAGTCAAGTTCTGCTCTTCCCTCTGAGCCAATATTTAGCCCAGATCGGCGCTACTGGGCAGCACAAGCATACAGCAGTGATCGCAATCGCCATTGCCGGTTTCCCTGAAACTGGCGACGGTGGAGGATGGGGTTGGTGGAGAAGAGCCATGTTTGGCCAAGCTCACCAGCTGAAAGCAAGGAGTCGTTGGCTAGTAATAAGCTATCAACAGGTGATGCTCACACCTTGCTTCACAACCAAGTCCTGTCGTTACGAGGTCGGACAAACCTGCCAGACACAGCGCTGTGGCTTGTAGGCAGTCACATTCATGTTTATGTCCCCGGACGGGGTGTCTTCTGGATGTCAGCGATGCCTTCTACGATTTTCCCGGCGTGGCCGGTCAAATCCCCGATTAGTGCGCAAGCTATTTACGTTCGCGACGGCATCACACCAGGCACCCCAGCTGCCCCGGATTTTCGCTGCTCTGAAAATCAAGCTTAGCACGCTAATTTAGTTTCGCCACAACACCCCAAGTGCGAAACCTTAATTCAACTCACTCCCGCCCGCTGGTGTCCACGGAGCCACGGTTGGTTTGTCCCGCTACTCGATCAAGAAACATGGACGGCTTGAAACGCATATCGCAGGGCACTTCGGAACTTTGGCCACGAGATGGGATGCTGTCTGTGGTTCTGATTTGGCAGAGATGAGGACGTCTGCTTACACTATGTCTCGGGAGAACTTGGTGCCAGGTTACACACCACACCGATCAGTGCTACTGCGTAGGTTCTCTCGGTTCTTGGCTCTTCTTTTCTTCCGCATTTTCTTCTCGCAGATTTCCCATGCTGGCCACGCGGTCGGAGATGGCCACCGCGACGTAACCTCCCAGACGCTTCGCCTGTAAATACAGCATTCATGCCATGCACACTGGCGGCGGCCGCTGAAACTGGGGCCTGGCAAAACAGACGAAGCACGTGGCATTCCCGAGGTCCGCCGTGTGCTTACTATGTGTGTGACTGTGTTCTTGCGCCGCACAATATTGCGTTGAACCGATGATGCTTCGAAATCCCAAAAACTGCTTGTGAATATCGATCGGCGGGAAGCTCTTCTCAGAGATCAACTCATCACCTTTCGATCCATCGGGCTAGTGCGGAATTTGAATAAGTTGCGAAGATCCTCGCTTAATGGCTTTCCCAACTGATATTTTTCCAGCCACCTCTTTGGAACCACACAGTGTTCCGCACATGGCAGCGACTGGACCCCGGAATGCAATGCACCAGCCCAGGGTTACTCTGCAAAGCCATGTTTCTTGGGGTGAGCCGCGCTCCTACCCTATTCCAGATAGTGTAGTCACCTTCCCTAGCATGTAGCAATTCCTTCACTTCGGAACCTGGGTTTCGAGAAGATCATGGTTTTTTTCGGGCAAGACAACATAATGAAGCGTGGAAACGAGATGGTGGGTAGAAAGAGAGCAAAGGTCAATGCTGAATTCTTGATCGATGCAGAATGCAGCATGCACAGATACCTGCACATACTCGGCATATTCATTCACGCAGAACCAGCCCGTCACATTACCCGTCTCTTTGCCACACCTTGCACACCACACAACCTGGACCTCTCTGCCGCCACTTCCCTCTGGATTTTTTATCCCCCATTAGTAGGAGCAAAGAGGGAAAAAAAAACAACGGCCCATCGGCAGGATTTGCGAGCTGGTTGCCCCCCATTCTTTTTGGCAGTTGCCCTTCTTGTTCGACCCACCATTCCGTCCCAAGCGTGTCAAAAAAGCACAGACACGCTGCAACCTCTCCGAACCACACAAACACTGACCACAACTTAACATCTGCATACATTTACCACTTCCTCACTGTCCGCTGAACCGCTCGGAGGAGGGCTTCTTACGTGCCGACAGCCTGCAACACTACCTCCAACCAGGCTCAGCATCTCGGGCCACAGATTGGACTTGACGGTCCCTCACCAGCAAGAGGTTCGAGCCACGAGTCATTAACCCGCAGCTGGGCATTGAGGGGGGGGAGCTCAGCAGGAGGGCACATCCTGGCAGGCAAATCCACCTGAGGTGGGCTCGCACCAGACCAGGAAGCCGGGGTTGCATGGGCGATTGGTTGGCTGCCCACTTTTTTTTAGCTGAATTATCCTGCGGCTTCGATAAGAGAAAGCGCAAACCCTGGGGGCAACCTGGACAGTCGCTGGATCATCAAAGGCCGAGGGTCCCCGAAGGCGAAAACGATTACCTATTGCCCGCCTTATTTCACCGGAAATCGTAGAAACAGCCGGTCGCCGTGTGTTGTCGACGGGTAACGAGAAACGGGAGGCGGCCAGAAGCCGGGAACTGACAACAACAAAAAAACAACAAACCCCGGCCCGTACTGCCTTTTGACCGCACACTCCGCAGTAACCTACCTGGGTATCATCAGTCAGTCCCCTGTCCCGATCACTTGTGGGCTGGTGGGGATTCCTCGTTGCTCCAGGTCGGCTGGTGTCCCATTCTGCTGCTGCCCAGCGTTCAGCAACCGCAAGCACCCATTCGCAAGGACCCCAGCATCTACACTACATACATACCAAACATCGGCTCAATTCACGCAGTGCCTGCCTGTTGTCTGAGGTGGCCTTCCAAAGCAAGCCACTCCATACGTGAGAACTCGCCTGGACCACGCGTCAAAAAAGACAAAAGACAGCAAGCAGTACACGCCTCTGAGGACATCTCAACAGGCCTTCAAGGTCAACTAACATATTGTATTTACACCTTCACCGACTTCCAGTAATTACCAGCCATTTTGTGCAGGACGTGCCTGCCCAGGCTCAGCACATCCTCCTCCACACGGGCTCCACTCATCTTGTCAACGATTCGAGAACGTCAACCCCTCCCTCTCATTCACTTTCGTCCACGCGCACCATCACAGTGGGTAGCCTGAACTGGGGTGACCACCCCTTCATCTGTTGCAACTGGAGAATTATACCGGCCCTGCTAGGTTTGGACCATACAGCTTACCGGTACCCCATCTATCTCATTTCCCACTCACCACACCTGTATAAAATTCGCGTCCTCCCGCACTAAGCTCGATATTCCCTCGCGCATTTCTCTGGAGGGCGGCTCCCGACTTCAGTCTGCACATCAATCAGCATCTGGAACGTGCCTCTCTTTTCGCAGAGGCGACAGGCTTCATCACCACACAGCATCCTCCATCATCACAAGCTGTTACATACATCAGCGACGACAAGCCGCCGTCGTCGATCAACAGAGTCAGTCCTCAGCAAAGCACAAACCTTAAAACAGACCCATCAAGCTATCCCGTACTGTCGAGAGGGAGAGCCACTTTTCTAGCCCTTTTAGCGCCTTCGCCCTGAAAAGAGAATCGTGCAGTGGCAGAGGGAGAGAGGCACTGGGCGCATTTTAGCCAAACTTTTTTTTCCGCCAAGGGTGGATCTCTTGAAAGTCAGAACCATCCTTGTCTGGTGACTGGATTGATCTGCTTGGTGGACGCCTATCAACAAGCCCCCATCGAGTCAAGTACAAGGACCCTGGTTCTGCGGAGTCCCCTCAGAGCTACCAAGAGGAAGACCGTCTGGGCCCAACAAAGCTAAATAAGAGCGCCAGCATCGCCGGTCCTCGAGCTATCAGGTGCCGGGTCATCGACGATTCATCAAGGCTACAGCCCTCTACCCCTTGTCTGTCTGAACGCCTTAATACATTGTTCCCGCCGCCGCCCGCTACTTGGGACGAAAGCAGCCATCTTTCAATCCGCCAGACCTCCCGCTTTACGCCTCCACCAGCAGCTCGCTTCACGCCGATTCCACCCAGACGGGAGTATGCTTAGGGAGCTTCCACCACAGCAGGCTACATCGCTCCCCCGCCCTGGCCAGGAACAGCTGCCAGGCAAACAGCATATGGAACGCACTGCCGACTATTCAGGTTTGCCATCGCCTTATCCTAGTACCGTCGGCGACGCCCAATCTGAGGCCTCTTCTGTAGATCCTGCTACGGTTGCATCAACAACATATTCTCAGCAGCCAGAAGTGAGGTCAGCAACCGCGTACCCGGCAGCAGGCACGCCAACTTCTTCAGAGTACAGCGTGTATCCTCCTCACTCGGCCCGGTCTGCCAACGGCACTTTTCCGGACACCCATCTCCAGCGTTCCTACCACCCGGCCAGCAACCACCAAGGCAGCAGTGGAGGTATGGCGCAAACACCAACCAGTCCGTTGCCTTTACAAGATGGGCGTAGCCATCACAACCCGCAGCAAGCCAGATCTGACAGCGGAGTACCTATAGATCCATCAATCGCCGCAGCAAGCCCGACGACGTATTCTCATCCGCAATATTCGCCCTACGCCGCTCCCCATCAAGACATGTCCCACCAATACGCCCACTCGGGTGTTTACCAGACAAGTCGACCAGATTGGGCCACCTATCAGTCCCCTGGCGGGGTTATGGCCGGAGGCCACCACGCTGTCTTCGCCCCATCAGCATCGGCAGCTGCTCAACCACGACCTAATCAGGTGAGTTTGGTGTGTCTTCCTTTCCAGAACAGCACTTCGCGCTCGAAGAGATGCGGCGGGTATGGGACCATGGTGTGTTTTTTTGGGGGGGTGGGAGGACGCTCCGGCATCGGACTCTGCTGGTGATCTTGTTGTCTGTGGAATCGGCGTGGCTCCACTTGTAAGCAGGCAATCAGGGGTTTGGAGGGGGGTCGAGAACAACGATCGGAATGGCACAGAGGTTGAAAGATTGGGAAACGACAGCTTGCTAACGGCTGTGGCGCAGGTGTACTCATTCGTGCCAATTCCGGGCGCGCAACAACATAAGCGCCCTCGGAGAAGATATGAAGAAATCGAGCGCATGTATAAGTGCGGGTGGAATGGGTGCGAAAAGGCCTATGGGACACTCAACCATCTCAATGCGCATGTCACCATGCAGGGTCATGGAAACAAGAGGACTCCTGAAGGTATGTGTGTCTTTTCATTGTGTTGCTCAATTTAGTGCCGCACCAGCGCGCGCTTGTTTTGGTTTCCCGAGTTTTGGTTCCCTTTGGCGTTGCGTCCTCGCGGGCTAGCGCTGGGTCGAACCGGCCTGTTGGTATTCAATAACAACGCCATGTCCCGACTGATAACTAACTTGTGCGCCTCGTAGAATTCAAGGAAATACGTAAAGAGTGGAAGGCGCGCAAGAAGGAGGAGGAAGCTCAAAGGAAGGCGGAAGAAGAGCGCCAACGCCAGGCTGCCGCCTCCGCCGCTGCTGCGCAAGGCACGGCGGATTCCTCCGTCGCCGACGGTGCCCAACCAGCCACCACATATTCGGGTTCGAGGGCCGTTCAGCTCCCGCCGATTGGCTACGGTCCTGCTCAGTACCCTGCCCCTCCTTCGGCGGGCATGCAGCAGCCCCTTTCCGAGTACCAGAGCGCTGCTCACGTCTACCCCAGCTACTCGCCCCCTACGTACGGTCAAACATCTCAGCCAATGTATAACCAGCGTATGTAACCCTGATCGGGCATGCTGTCGGCAATGTTGCATTCTAACACACTGCTTTGCTGAAGACAACGGCGGCCAAAACAACCACTAGAGGGAGGAGGCTTTGCGATGGAGTGGAGCAGGTTATGACGATGGCACAATGCCACCATGGAGCTGAATGCTCGAGATACTCATGGCGTCATGTCTACACTTCGTGCCGTAGAGCCGGTCGAAAGGAAGCGCCGATATGGCTTTACTTTGATTTTTGTGGAGCGTTCACACAAGCTGCCGATAATTTTCGAGGTCGGCTGACGAGGATAGGGGGGCTAGGTTGGTATCGACAGGTTTGGTCGGAGCGGAGCATTTACAAAGTCATGGCTGTCTCGGAGCATTGGGTTGAAGGTGTTTGTTGTGGTTCTTGTGTTGTTGTTTTTGGCAACCTTCCCGCGCTAATGTTATCTTACCAAAACTGTATACTTTCTGGGAGGGTTGCGAGACCTCTTTTTCATTTTTCGGTTGTGGAGGAAATACCCCGGGGATGGAGAATGCTTGGTTGGCGGATGTGTGGAGTTGTCTGTGTCTTGATTGAATTCTCGCTTATTGTTTATGTCTACATATCTATTCTTCTCTTTCCTGCACATCAAATCAAATTGAGAGCGGGGGGTGTTTTGCGAGTTTGTTTTGCAAGGCTTTGAAAGAAAGATTATAGAGATCAGGAAATAGGGAAAAGGAGGTATGGGAGGTGCGTGTTGGCAGTCGGTGAAAACGAGAGAAGGATGGGTGATGGCTTTGTGCGTTGTTGAGTGAGGAGCATGGCACAATGCTCGGAACAGACGCAAGCAAAGGGTGGAGAGCAAGGAAAAGGCGTGCATAATTAGATCATGCTGGGAGGTGCCTTTGTCACTGACTACTGGCATTGCCGCCGACGATCAGCCCTGGCAACTGGAAAGCCGTTCCCTGGATTGCTCGTGGTGCGGCTTCGCCAGCAGGCAATGGAAAAGGTGCGGTTGCATATGATACGGCGACCGTCCACCTACCCAAGCATTTGTTACGTTATATAAGCACGCCGTGGGATGGGCTCTGACTTGGTATGGGAAAAAACCAGACCAGGCTCATGTCCACATACATACGAGGCGAGGAAGAGGAACATCCAACCGCCGCCCCCCTCTCAAGAAGCAGAGCGGAACTTATCTAGAAACTTGAGGATCAAAATTGTAAAACTCAAACAAACAACAGCCAAGCGCTCTACCTTCCCGTTCTCTGATCTTTGTTCCTGTGTTGTGTAACCCTTTTGGCATGAACTTTCCATGTGCGATGCTGCTGCAGCTACCGCCCGAACCTTTTTAGTTTATTCTTCTAGAAGACGAACACGTTCCCACTGTTGAGAAGGTGCCACAAACGGCGGGATGCAGTTGTAGGACGAGAACTTCCTCGAGGCGGCAGGTGGCCGAGAGCAAAAGGGCAGGTATACAGAAGTACCGGTACTTGCGAGGTACAAGACCTTCCTTACCTGCCCTGTCTTTGTATCTGTGGACGAACTTGACGCCATGGCCGGGGTGACCCCTAGCGATTAAGCTGTGTTGTAACGTTGGGATGTTTAGTCTCGGTGGCGGACTGCCCGGCCATGCATCGTCAACGGTTTTTGTTGAGTTGTGGTTTTTTTTCTTCCTCAGGGGTAATAACGTTTAGTGTGCTGCCGACGTTTTAAATTATTACGGAGAATACTGGCCAGTTAACTGAGTGGAAAATGTATATATACATTGCAGTCATTTTGACTGTTCTTCTTCTTCTTCTGGAAGAAGGGGGGGAGTGGTTGTCAAAACTGAGTGAACTGCGACAGGGGGTTGCTGTTGGGATGACGCAGTTGCTTAACTAGCGTTGTGTAACCACACTTTTCTTTTCTTCTTTTTCTTCTTTGGCATTGGGGGGTTTAATCGGGCCGGCTCGGGAGGTTGTCTTTCGGGAGCGGGCCGGGAAGGGGAGGGATGGATGGTGGAATAATTTAACGAAAACTAAAAGTTTGTTGATCGACGGTTTTCTCTTCGCCAGGTTGGTGTACAGCAGCAAAGCCTGTGGGTTACATGAACGCTGCCGAGGACGAGAAGAAGATGCGAGGCAGATGACTTGCTTTTTGGGTGACACTTGTCATACTTTGGTTGCTTGAGC